AGCAGTGAAAACTGGACTCTGAATACACAGTATTTCCACACCGATCACTAATATCACTAAGAGGTGAGGTGGTGATTCTCCACCTCATCCAATCAGGGAATGTTTTGCATTTATTGAGAAAATGCAGCACACTTTCTGAATGTCGCTCGTGCCGAGCATCGACCTCCTATGCTCACAATGCAGCATGGCGCAGGATCCAGAAGCTAGCAGAGATTATATATATTATAATTATTATTATACAGTATTTATATAGCGCCAAAGGGTATGCTCAGCGCTGTACAGTAGCACGGGGGACAGAACATGAGACAAGACAGTAACAATACAATACACGAGGGGTTCGATGGGCACTGCTCTTGTGAGCTTACAATCTAGGAGGGAGGGAAGGTGGTACAGGAGGAAATGGCTGTGGGGGATGGAGTGGTGGGAGGAGTGGAGGAGGTCGGCTGTTAGGCGAGGGTAGGGTAGGCTTCCCTGAAGAGGAGGGTTTTTAGGGTGCGCCTGAAGGTAAGGAGGAAAGGTGACAGTCTGATGGATTGGGGTAGGGAGTTCCAGAGGATGGGGGAAGTCCTGGAGAAATCCTGCAGTTGGGTGTGGGAGGAGGAGACCAGGGAGCTAGAGAGTAGGAGGTCCTGTGAGGAGCGGAGGGCACGGGTAGGGTGGTATTTGGGTATCAGGTCGGTTAGGTAGTTTGGGGCGGCGTTGTGAACTTTGTAAGTCAGGTTTAGCATTTTGAATTTGACGCGCTGGGCAATCGGGAGCCAGTGAAGGGATTGGCAGAGGGGGGAGGCAGATGTGGAGGGGTTGGTGAGGTGGATGAGTTTTGCCGCTGAGTTCAGGATAGACTGGAGTGGGGATAGCGTTCGTTTGGGTAGGCCAGTGAGAAGGGAGTTGCAGTAGTCCAGCCGTGAGATGATGAGGGAGTGTACGAGTTGTTTGGTGGTGTCTGGGGTGAGGAACGTACATATCTTGGAGATGTTGCGGAGGTGGAGCCTGCATGACTTTGATAGTAATTGGACGTGAGGTAGGAAGGAGAGGTGGGAGTCCAGGGTGACACCCAGGATTTTAGCGTGTGGGGTGGGATTGATGGTAGCGTTGTTAGTAGTGATGGAGAGGATGGGGGGGGGGGGGGGCTTGGGGTGGGGGGAAGACCAGGAGCTCGGTTTTGGATAGGTTCAATTTGAGGAAATGGAGCGACATCCAGTCTGATATGTCGTTCAGGAGGTGGGCGATGTGAGGGGGTGAGGTGGGGGGTGGAGAGGTAAATTTGTGTGTCGTCGGCATAGAGGTGGTAATTGAAGCCGTGGAAGTGTATTAGTTTGCCAAGGGAGGAGGTGTAGATGGAGAAGAGGAGGGGTCCGAGGACAGAGCCTTGGGGGACTCCAAAAGAGAGGGGGAGAGAGGGGGAGGTGGCAGTGTTATAGGTGATGCTGAAGGAGCGTTGGGATAGGTAGGAGGAGAACCAGGAGAGAGCGGCGTCCCTGATGCCGAGGGAGTGTAGTTTAGTAAGGAGGAGGGGGTGGTCGACAGTGTCGAAGGCAGCGGAGAGGTCGAGGAGCAGGAGGACAGAGTAGTGGCCATTAGCTTTGGCGGTAAGCAGGTCGTTGGTGATTTTAAGTAGGGCGGTTTCGGCGGAGTGTAGGGGACGGAAGCCAGACTGTAGAGGATCAAGGAGGTTGTTATCAATGAGGTGGGCGCTTAGGCGATTGTAGGCCAGGCGCTCAAGGAGCTTGGAAGTGAATGGTAACAGGGAGATGGGTCTGAGGTTGTGCAGGTCAGTGGGGTCAAGGGAGGGTTTTTTGAGTATGGGGGTGATGTGCGCGTGCTTTAGAGGGGGGGGGAAAGTGCCAGTGAAGAGGGAGAGATTGAAGATACACATTATATACATACACACATATATGTACAGTGGGGCAAAAAAGTATTTAGTCAGCCACCAATTGTGCAAGTTCTCCCACTTAAAAAGATGAGAGAGGCCTGTAATTGGCATCATAGGTAGACCTCAACTATGAGAGACAAAATGAGAAAAAAAATCCAGACAATCACATTGGCTGATTTGGAAAGAATTTATTTGCAAATTATGGTGGAAAATAAGTATTTGGTCAATATGAAAAGTTCATCTCAATACTTTGTTATATATCCTTTGTTGGCAATGACGGAGGTCAAACGTTTCCTGGAAGTCTTCACAAGGTTGGCACACACTGTTGCTGGTATGTTGGCCCATCCTCCATGCAGATCTCCTCTAGAGCAGTGATGTTTTGGGGCTGTCGCTGGGCAACACGGACTTTCAACTCCCTCCAAAGGTTTTCTATGGGGTTGAGATCTGGAGACTGGCTAGGCCACTCCAGGACCTTGAAATTCTTCTTACGAAGCCACTCCTTCGTTGCCCGGGCGGTATGTTTGGGATCATTGTCATGTTGGAAGACCCAGCCATGTTTCATCTTCAATGCCCTTGCTGATGGAAGGAGGTTTGCACTCAAAATCTCACGATACATGGCCCCATTCATTCTGTCCTGTACATGGATCAGTTTGTCCTGGTCCCTTTGTGGAGAAACAGCCCCAAAGCATGATGTTGCCACCCCCATGCTTCACAGTAGGTATGGTGTTCTTTGGATGCAACTCAACATTCTCTCTCCTCCAAACACGACGAGTTGTGTTTCTACCAAACAGTTCTATTTTGGTTTCATCTGACCATATGACATTCTCCCAATCCTCTTCTGGATCATCCAAATGCTCTCTAGCAAACTTCAGACGGGCCCGGACATGTACTGGCTTAAGCAGGGGGACACGTCTGGCACTGCAGGATCTGAGTCCCTGGCGGCGTAGTGTGTTATTGATGGTAGCCTTTGTTACGTTGGTCCCAGCTCTCTGCAGGTCATTCACTAGGTCCCCCCGTGTGGTCCTGGGATTTTTGCTCACCGTTCTTGTGATCATTTTGACCCCACAGGGTGAGATCTTGCGTGGAGCCCCAGATCGAGGGAGATTATCAGTGGTCTTGTATGTCTTCCATTTTCTAATTATTGCTCCCACAGTTGATTTGTTCACACCAAGCTGCTTGCCTATTGCAGATTCAGTCTTCCCAGCCTGGTGCAGGTCTACAATTTTGTTTCTGGTGTCCTTCAACAGCTCTTTGGTCTTCACCATAGTGGAGTTTGGAGTGTGACTGTTTGAGGTTGTGGACAGGTGTCTTTTATACTGATAACAAGTTCAAACAGGTGCCATTGATACAGGTAATGAGTGCAGGACAGAGGAGCCTCTTAAAGAAGAAGGTACAGGTCTGTGAGAGCCAGAAATCTTGCTTGTTTGTAGGTGACCAAATACTTATTTTCCACCATAATTTGCAAATAAATTCTTTCCAAAATCAGCCAATGTGATTGTCTGGATTTGTTTTCTCATTTTGTCTCTCATAGTTGAGGTCTACCTATGATGCCAATTACAGGCCTCTCTCATCTTTTTAAGTTGGAGAACTTGCACAATTGGTGGCTGACCAAATACTTTTTTGCCCCACTGTGTATATATATATATATATATATATATATATATATACACATACATACATACATACATACACACACACATACACACATACATACATACACACACATACATACAACAGTGATTTCCAGAGCCCTGTTGTCCAACCTGTGGCCCTTCGGTGTATGGTGTGCGGCCCTCAGATCTCAGTAGTCTGTAGTGGGGCATTGATTAGGGTAATAGCACTATTTGATCTCTACCAGCCTCATGGAACATGTTCCCAGCTTCGTATTGTTTTCTGCAGCATATCCCCAACCAACAATGTATCCTGTCCTCACTCTCTGACCCTCATTTCCTCTACTAGGTCTGCAGTCTCTGACAGTCCTTCTGAGCATTACACATATTGAACATTATGTGCGACCCTTTGGTGATGTTAAGCGCTGGATTTGAGGCCCCTTTAGCTCATAAGTTGACAAGAACTGTTCTAGAACAGAGGTCTGCAAACTGCGGCCTGAGGGTCGGATGTGGCCCTTTGCTTGCCTTTATCTGGCTCTTGGAGCACTATTCCATCTACTAACACCAACAATAAGGCATAATTCTTGTCGCTGACACCAACGATAGGGCACTATTCCTCCCACTGACACCAACTATAAGACATAACTCCTGTCGCTGACACTATCAGTGGGGCACTATTCCTCCCACTGACACCAACAATGAAGCACTATTCCCCCACTGACACCAAGAATGAAGCACTATTCCCCAATGACACCAACAATGAAGCACTATTCCCCCAATGAAGCTCTACTCCTACCACTGACACCAATAATGGGGCACTATAAAGGCTCAAAGTATTAACTATTACGCATGCCAGCTGTTAGGCCTCACACACACAGGGCATTTGCTTTTCTCCCCTGAACGGCAAAACTCCTGGGAGAAAAAAAAAACCACCTAAGACTCAGTTCACACTAGATTTGTCAGCAGGCGTCAGACAGGCGTTTGGGAAGCGTTTTTAACGCTTCCAAAACACCTATGAAAATTCTGCACATGGCAGCAGACAGTGCTGTTCACACTGAAGCGTTAGCGTTGTGGCAAAACTGACGCCTTGTGTCAAGTCAGGAGGAGTTAAAGCCTCCCATTCAAGTCTATGGTGCAGCTCCGCAAACGCCTGGCAGGCGTTAATACCATTTACCTTCATTATAGGCGTTTGTGGTGCGGTTTTTAACGCTTGGCAAATACCTATCAACCGCCTCAAAACTGCACATGGGGAATGATGCTTTTTGCAGTGTTAAAGAGATTTGGGAGTATGCTATTTGTACAGGATTTGATCAAGGTGGGAATGTCATGGAACAGAATTTGCAACAGATCAGGCCTGATGGGATATGGTGCTATCTACTGTAACCGAGGCAAAATGGCCTTCAAGAAAAGATGTCTCTTCAGGCAGTCTCATTCCTTTTCTATTTTACTTCTATAGTTCCTTACCCGTCTTTTGCCAGATCTCCAGGCTGTAACACGGCAATCACTCGTCCTCTCTGTCCTCCACACTCCTTCTCCAGTCCTATGATGATGATGTCACCTCCCCGCCTGAAATAATACAAGGGATAAAAGCATTCAGAGCGGTGCACAGTTTTATTTGATTTATTACAGGTAAGTATATAGCGCCGTCAATTTTACAGATACAGTATCTCACAGAAGTGAGTACACCCCTCACATCTTTTCATGTGACAACACTGAAGAAATGACACTTTGCTACAATGTGACGTAGTCAGTGTACAGCTTGTATAACATGTACATTTGCTGTCACCTCAAAATAACTCAACACACCGCCATTAATGTCTAAACTGCTGGCAACAAAAGTGAGTCCACCCCTAAGTGACAAGGTCCAAATTGGGCCCAAAGTGTCGATGTTTTGTGTGGCCGCCATTTTTTTCCAGCACTGCCTTAACCTTCTCGGACATGGAGTTCACCAGAGCTTCACAGGTTGCCACTGGATTCCTCTTCCACTCCTCCATGACGACGTCACGGAGCTGGTGGATGTTAGAGACCTTGTGCTCCTCCACCTTCCGTTTGAGGAAGCCCCACAGATGCTCAATAGGGTTTACGTCTGGAGACATGCTTGGCCAGTCCATCACCTTCACCCTCAGCTTCTTTAGCAAGGCAGTGGTTGTCTTGGAGGTGTGTTTGGGGTCGTTGTGTTGGAATACTGCCCTGCGGCCCAGTCTCTGAAGGGAGGGGATCATGCTCTGCTTCAGTATGTCACAGTACATGTTGGCATTCATGGTTCCCTCAATGAACTGTAGCCCCCAGTGCTTGACACCAGCTGAACCAAATCAGTGTATCTTGGTGTCATCAAACCACAGGACATGGTTCCAGGAATCCATGTCCTTAGTCTAAATAAAATAAAAATGTGCAGCGCTATACAAAAATACTGAAAAACGTGTAAATAAGTGAGCGCCTTCCAAATAGTAGCAGCTGTACACCAAAGGCACCATATAAAACCTTCCAATACAATAATATACAAAAAAGGTGCAGCGCGCTAGAGCACAAATAAATGAACATATATATACATGTATAAAGTCATGCAAAAGATGTAAAGTGATGCTGTGCACTCATATATATGCCACTATGCAGTGGCTAATATAACGTGAGGAAAAAAACTGCTGTGTCCACAGATAAGTCCAACGTGAAAACGTGAGCAAGATCTCAATCGATCTATAGACTTCCAAACGACATAGACTGTGCACACGGTGAAACAGTGAGGATACAGATTACGCACTCACCAGATGCGCCACCTTTATGCTCCTTTATATATTATAGAGACTCCCAATATGTCATCAGAGGTCTGGTCAGATCTGGTCAGGTCCACTTCGTTATCCCATACTCTGCATACAGCCTTATTTTAGCCGAGGCAAACAAACACCACTTTCCGGTCCTGACTGAACATGGAGCTCCATGTTCACTTTTGTTGCCAGCGGTTTAGACATTAATGGCGGTGTGTTCAGTTATTTTGAGGGGACAGCAAATTTACATGTTATACAAGCTGTACACTGACTACGTCACATTGTAGCAAAGTGTCATTTCTTCAGTGTTGTCACATGAAAAGATAGAATAAACTATTTACAAAAATGGGTGGACTCTTTTCTAGGAGATACTGTATATTGTACATTCACATCAGTCCCTAACCCTCAAGGGGCGTACAATCTGAGGTCCCTAACTCACATTCATACATACACATACTAGGGACAATTTATATAGGATCCAATTCACCTACCAGCATGTCTTTGGAGTGTGGGAGGAAACCGGAGTGCCGGAAGGAAAACCTATACAGGCACAGGAAGAACATGCAAACTCCAGGCAGGTTGTGTCATGGCTGGGATTTGAACCGATGACTCTAGTGCTACCAGGCTGAAGTGCTAACCACTAAGCCGCTGTGCTACCCCACTGTGCACAGTTCAGGCCTTGTCATTTTCTTTCTAATTTGGCCGTGTTTCTCCAAGTCTCTGAGAACAGTTTTGTAGTCTTTCACCTTTTACTAACAAACTTTTATAATAAAAAAAAAAAACACTAATCTAGAAAATTCTGTAAATCCAGCATTAGCCTAATTCCCAAATTTCTGGATTAGAAAGGTGCAAGCTGTAGCACTGTATGACCTGTAAGACGTTTGTCTTTTTCTTCTGGTGAAGAGCTGTAATAGAACGGTGTACTACCTTATGCAGAGGTGCTGAGTAGCTGCCCATGGTGGCCACCTTTGGGTTCATTAAAGTGGAACTAAATTGTATCTGAGCACCACAAACTGAAAACACTATTTAATTAATTTTGAACTTTCAAAGCAAACTGCCCCATCCACCCATGGGGGATATCTACTAAAACCAGTGCCCTCAGAATCTGGTGCAGCTGAGCATGTTCACCAATCAGCTTCTAACTTCAGCTCACTCAATTAAGCTTTGGCAAAAAAAAACTGGAAGCTGGTTTCTATGCACTCTCCAATTTTAGTAAATAATCCCCATGCTAACCCCACACTGTGGCCATCTTTAGTAAGGGCAGATGATTCATGTAGCATTTACTTCCTGGAATCCATCTGCCCTTAGCTCAAGCATGAAGGCAGCAGGGTGTGCTTAGTTAAGAAGCCCCCTCCTTCCCTTCTCCATGATAGAAAAAAATATTGCCCACGAAAACTCCTGGGATGTATGATATTATTTTGGTCTAAGTCAGAAACCAGGAAACAACTGAAAAAATGTAAAATCTTGACCACAGCACCACCTGCCTGAAGTTTGCATGTTCTCCCTGTGCTTGCGTGGGTTTCCTCCGGGTACTCCGGTTGCCTCCCACACTGCAAAGACATGCTGGTAGGTTAATTGCCTCTGGTCTAAATTGGCCCTAGTATGTGTATGTATGAATGTGAGTTAGGGACCTTAGATTGTACCCCCCTTGAGGGTTAGGGACTGATGTGAATGTACAATATACAGTGGGGCAAAAAAGTATTTAGTCACCACCAATTGTGCAAGTTCTCCCACTTAAAAAGATGAGAGAGGCCTGTAATTGGCATCATAGGTAGACCTCAACTATGAGAGACAAAATGAGAAAAAAAATCCAGACAATCACATTGGCTGATCTGGAAAGAATTTATTTGCAAATTATGGTGGAAAATAAGTATTTGGTCAATATGAAAAGTTCATCTCAATACTTTGTTATATATCCTTTGTTGGCAATGACAGAGGTCAACATTTTTTCTGAAAATTGTCAGACTTTTTTTTTTATAGCACAAAAAAAATAAAACCGCACAGGGGATCAAATACCACCGAAAGAAATCTGTGTTCGTGGGAACAAAAGGAAGTAAATTTTGTTTGGGTGCAGCGTTGCATGACCGCGCAATTGTCAGTTAAAGTAACGCAGCGCCATGTCGCAAAAAAAATGGCCTGGTCAGGAAGGGGGGAAAATCCTCTGGAGGTCAAGTGGTTAATCAGTACAGTTTTCATCCGAAAATACAATAAAAAGTACCTTTTTCCCAATTGATATACAGCTGCCACATGGGCCAGCTCTTTCCCAGCCTGTCTGCAGGGAAACATAAGCAGGAGGAGTCTCTAGTCCTCTCCTGCTGGTCACGTTTAAAAAAAAAAAAAAAGTTTTAAATTGTCATACAAATATATATTTGAAACTAAATATTTAATATTTTGTGGAAATAACTCAGTATAAGTGGATCTCTGCAAGTCACAGGCTGTATTACGCCCCTCCAGCCTGCGACTTAAAGCGGAGCTCCACCCAAAAGGGGAAGTTCCCCTTTAAGGACTGCTCCCCCCCCGCTCCCCATTAAGGATTGGCACCTTTGGGGGGCGGGGGGAAGCGGGTCCCGATTTTGACAGGTACCTGCTCCCACTTCCAGTCCGATTTTGGCGATCGGAAACGGAAGGTGTCCTCCCTCCCTCCCTGTAGTCTTTTGGGACACGTGACAGGTCCCAGAAGACTACAGGACCATTCATGAAGCGTAGCGTTGCTCGCACATGCGTAGTGGGTACCCAGCTGTGAAGCTGCAAGCAGTCACAGCCGGGTGCCCACACTGAAGATGCCGGCCTCTAGGAATGCAAGATGGCCGGTGAAACGGGCTGCGGGGGACACAACACGGGACCGAGGGACAGGTAAGTGGCTGTTTTTTAAAAGTCAGCAGCTACAGGTTTTGTAGCTGCTGACTTTTATTTTTTGACAGGGTGAGTGGAACTCTGCTTTAAGAGGAAGGTGAAGCCTCAATCAATCAAGATGTAATAGCCCACCCCCCATTGTGTTTAGCTGGTTAGTGGGCATGGAGGAAGAGGGAGGGTGTGGGCTGTCATTTATCACTGTGTATGCACCCATTGTGTGACTCTATAGTCACATGGGCTGCTCAGATGTAATAGGGGAGGGAACTGCTCAGCACAGACACTACAGCTACAAAATCCCTAACTGAATTGGGGACATGAACAGAAGGTGGAGACAGAGAGCAGCAGGATCAACCAGGTTTTTTGCAGAATACAGAAAACAAATCTCATAGTGATTGAATGAGTATAAACAGCATGTAATACGCCATTTATTGATAGTTTTTTTTTAATAATGTGGGTATAGTGACACTTCAGGGTTTGACATGCTGGGTATCTATTTACTTGGTGCAACCTCATCTTTTATATTTTACCCAAAAATGTGGTAATTTATTGCATTTGCATGTCCTAAAATTAACTTTACTCTTCTCTGAGGAAGGGATTGAACGTTGGGATCCTATCTGGTTGCGCTCCTTCCCCTTCACTCATGGAATTCGATGGTGTTGAGGGGGGGTGATGCTTCAGCGTCCGGCGGTGAGGGCGAGAGACACATGCTACCCTCTCTGTCATCCTTCCTCGATAACTTAAGTTACATTTCTTAGCACTCGTCTCCCCCCTCCCCCCCCCACATTCCCTACTCTTCCCTCCTTCTCTACCTCCCCCCCCCATTTTTTTTTCTCTCTCTCTCTCTTTTTTTCCCTTTCTTTTGCTGGGCATGCTAAACTTAACATTTGTATTCCTGCCCTAGAATCACATTATCAATTAACGTACCTCAGTGTAATTTCTCCACATCCACCGTTCTCAAACATTTTCTCTGTCATTGATTCCATGTTCTGGTCTATCATGAATCTACGCAGGATATTGACAATAGGCTCTTATGACCTAAGTTACTCCAAACTCCTTTATTTTTTGTCCTCTTAGTTCTCTAAGTTGTTGTTTGGGGTCTGCCCCCCGTTCTTCTGTGTTCAACGTCCATGCCAAGTTTTTTTTTTTTTCTTTTTATCTGACTTGCTCTCGTTATAAGGCTAGATGATTCTAGCAAACTGTTGTATCAATACCCCTCTTGTTGAGAAGACCACCTGATAGACTGAATCCATAGTCACATGCTCAGTTTGGTGTGTATTGTTAAAGGTTTTTTTTTTTTTTTTTTTTTTCCATGGAAGAGTGCATGTGATCAGCACTGTCCAGACAGGGGGTCAGGGGTTTCACATCCTACTAGAGCAGAAAGAAAACTCCTCCTACAAGCTTTAACCAGTGCTCTGCTGGACACTGATAGAAGTCACAAGACTGCTCTAACTGCTGATGAGAAAAGGTTTGCAGAACCCTGACTGGAATCCAATACCAAACTGGGAGGAGGAAGATCTGTTGCTGCATCCATAAAGGAGGGACCCACTTTCTGTGACCAGACCAGCTTTGTTCCTTCTGGATTGAGGATCCATGGGCTTTTGATAAATACTGCTTATATATATCTTCTTCCTGGTGAGTGCGTTTTTCAGCCACTTCCTCACGGATCACCAACATTGAATTTCTACTTGTCTATGAACTGGACTTGCAGTGGACTTATTTCAGTTTTATCATTACTACCTTCAGCGCTGCACTGTTTTTTATGTTATGTTGTATCAATACAACCCATGCCTTTGTCTATGTTTATGTTTTTCGATGCTCAATACATCTTTATTGGGAAAAAAAAATACCAAAAAAAAAATATTAAATTTTGGTGTATCTTTTACTAAAGTTTTGCGTTTCCTAGACCCTTGCGGTAATATTGTGTGCTTCTAGCAAACTGTTGTATCGATACAACCCATGCTTTTGTCTAGGTTTATGTTTTTCGATGCTCAATAAATCTTTATTGGAAAAAAAAAAAAAACATAAAAACAAAATACCAAAAAAAAAAAAAAAAATTAACTTTGGTGTATTTTTTACTAAAATTTTGCGTTTCCTAGACCTTTGCGGTAATATTGTGCGCCATAATAAAAAATTGGACCTATGACTATTTAATTCTCCAGGGTGTCTGCTTATAATGTTTTGGGGGTTAATGTCATCTTCAGGCCTAAAATAATTTTTATAAACATGTGTGCAAAAATAAAAAAACACAAAAAGCTGCTCTGGCAGAAAAGCGAGTTAAAGCAAAGCTCACCTGGGAACCCAAAGCAAATCCTTAACGGCCAGGACCTGTACCGCCTGCATCAGTATCTTCTCCTCTTCTGTAGGTGGAGCTTTTATTCCCCAGCTTTCACTAGGAATCCTGGGCCTCTGTTTCCGTAACAGTTCAGGCTCCTTGCTGTCTTTGGTAATATATTTTACCAAAACATTTGGTAATTTATTGCATTTGTGTGTCCTAAAATTAACTTTGGTGCATTTTTTACTAAAGTTTTGCGTTTCCTAGACCTTTGTGGTACTATTGTGTGCCATAAAAAATTGGACGAGGAAAGAAAAAACAGAGGGCGCACAGGCCTAGTGCATTACCATAAAAAATGTTTAATAAAAAATAAAGTATGTGTTGTACTCACAAACGACAATATAGTCAAGGCACATCATAAAGAACAGCTGGGTCAACACCGCGCTGAGTAACAGTCCGTAATAGGGAGTATAGACATCCAATAGGCTGACACGTTTCGAGGACTTGCCTCTTCCCCAGAGCGACAGGCAAGTCCTCGAAACGCATCAGGCTTTTGGATGTCTACACTCCCTATTACGGACTGTTACTCAGCGCGGTGTTGACCCAGCTGTTCTTTATGATGTGCCTTGACTATATTGTCGTTTGTGAGTACAACACATACTTTATTTTTTATTAAACATTTTTTATGGTAATGCACTAGGCCTGTGCGCCCTCTGTTTTTTTCTTTCCTCATTCAGTATATTTGGATTCCCCCGGTCCATTTGAGGGCAGCAAGGTGTGCATGTTCCAGGACATTCTTAATGTGGTTGTAGCCTGCATCGAGTCCATCCCCAAGCGCAGGAGCATTTGTGTTTGCTGGTTCTTTATAAAAAATTGGACCTATGACTATTTAATTCTCTAGAGTGTCTGCTTATAATGCTTTGGGGGTTAACCACTTGAGCTCCTGAGGATTTACCCCCCTAAATGACCAGGCCTCTTTTTGCTACTCGGCGCTGCACTAATTCAACTGATAATTGCGCGGTCATGCAATGCTGCACCCAAACGAAATTTACGTCCTTTTTTTCACACAAATAGAGCTTTCTTTCGGTGTAATTTGATCACCTGTGCGATTTTTATTTTTCACGCTATAAACAAAAAAAAAAGGCCAAAAATTTTGAAGAAAAACAATATTTTTTACTTTCAGCTATAAAAAATATATTGTAAACTCAAAGTTGGTTATAAATTTAGGCCAAAATGTATTCTGCTCCATGTTTTTGGTAAAAAAAAATCCCAATAAGTGTATATTGATTGCTTTGTGTGGAAGTTATAGCGTCTACAAACTATGGTATAGATCAGGGGTGGGCAAACTTTTTGACTTGAGAGCCGCAATGGTTCATATATTGGACCCGGGGGCCGGACCAAGAGTAGATGAATGATGTGTATGTGTCATCCATAGTAAGTATAGTAATATTCCCCCATAGTAATTTACATCCCCCATATAGTAATTAGTCATCCCCCATAGTAATTCATCCCCCTTAGTAATTCATCCCCCATATAGTAATTCATAATTCCCCCATAGTAATTCATCCCCCATATAGTAATTCATCCCCCCATAGTAATTCATCCCCCCTATAGTAATTCATCTCCCCTATAGTAATTCATTCCCCATATAGTAATTCATCCCCCATAGTAATTCATCCCCCATAGTAATTCATCCCCCATATAGTAATTCATCCCCCATAGTAATTCATCCCCCATAGTAGTAAACCCCCATTCATCCCCCATAGTAATCCATCATCCCTCCTATAGTAATTCATTCCCCATATTAATTCATCCCCCATATTAACTCCCCAAGTCCCCCCTGTGTCAATTCACTTACCTTTGCTCCGCGCGTTCCTCTCGCCGTGTTCCCGCGCCGTTCCAGTGTAGCATGAAAATCTGTCTCCTATGAGGATCTGTCCCCCTCGACGTATCTGCGCATGTGCCAGTTTCAGGCATTAGCAGCCGATCGGCGATCTCCGGCACATGCGCAGATACGTCGAGGGGGACAGATCCTCATAGGAGACAGATTTTCATGCTACACCGGTCTTCAGGGCGGACTGTGAGAGGAGCCTAGCGGGAGCCTACCTCCGCGGGCCGGTTTAAAAGGTCCGCCGGGCCGTATACGGCCCGCGGGCCATAGTTTGCCCATTGCTGGTATAGATACTGCAATTTACGCCATTTTTTCTGCTATACAGCGCTGCGCTAGTTTAACGGACAATTGCGCGGTCATGCAATACGGTACATAAATTAAATTTACATCCTTTTTTTTCCCCACAAATTGAGCTTTCTTTCAATGGTATTTGATCGCCTGTGCGGTTTTTATTTTTTTGCACTATAAAAAAAAAAGGCTGACAAATTTTGAGGAAAAAAAAACAATATTTTGGACTTTTTGCTATAAAACATGTCCAGTAAAAAAAAAATGCAAAAATCAAATTTAGTCATAAATTTCTGCCAAAATGCATTCTGCGACATGTCTTTGCTAAAAAAAAAAACCCAATACGTGTAAATTAATTGGTTTACGTGAAAGTTATAGCGTTTACAAATGGCGGGAAAGATACTGGGATTTTTAATTTTTATTTATACTAATAATGGCGCCGATCAGCGACTTATAGCGGCAATCAGCGACATATGACGGTGAGCAGCGACTTATGGCGGGACTGCGGCAGACATTTTGACACTGGGGGGGGGGAACTGACTTGGGGTCACTGACATCCCCAGTGACACCAATACAGTGATCAGTGAAAAAAAACCACTGAAACTGTACTGTCACTGGGGAGGAAGGTGTTAACATTTTTAGAATTTGCTGTGTAAGGGGAGTGTTTACTAGGGGGCAGGGGTGTGTACTGGACGGGGGAGGGGGGAGCTGATTGAGGGAGTGAAACTCTTTTCTCCCTCTTCAGCTTGTCGGCGAACTGTCACAGAGCAGGGCTGTGTGTAAACAATGCAGCCCTGCTCTTTGTCAGTGATCACCGCTCATCGCGGGAAAACGGCCGGTAAAAACCGGCCGTGACCCGGCGGCGGAGACCCGCGGGACAGGTAGGGCGGGCGCGCGCCCCCTACCTGTTTTGAAGGCAGCCGTTTTAAAACGTGCTTTTGCCTACAAGTGCTGCCCTGCCACCGTTTATATGCGGTGGCTGGGCGGCAAGTGGTTAATGTCATCTTCAGGCCTAAAATAATTTTGCTAAACGTGTGCAAAAAAAACAAAAAACCACAATAAAACTGCTCTAGCAGAAAAGCGAGTTAAAGCAAAGCTCACCTGGGAACCCAAAGCAAATCCTTAACGGCCAGGACCCGTACCGCCTGCATCAGTATCTTCTCCTCTTCTGTAGGTGGAGCTTTTGTTCCCCAGCTTTCACTAGGAATCCTGGGCCTCTGTTCCCGTAACAGTTCAGGCTCCTCGCTGTCTGTGGAGAAGAGGGTGCTGTTGTAACTCACCGGCGTGCTGGGCAGGCTGGAGGAGGACTTAGCTGCTCCTTGAGGTACAGAAGAAGTTGAAGACACAGAACAATAGTCGGTGAGGGAATCTTGGTGGCTTAAGAGCTGCACTCCTCGATCTTGGCTGCAGATGATGCTAACTTCGGATTGGCATTGCCGGTCACAGTTTTTTTCTGGCAAGGAGACTGGTGCCAGGTCTGAAGTAGCCTTTACAGCAAACATATCCCTTAGGGGGCTACAGTCACCGCAGAAATATCGAGCGCAGAGTTGGTAGCTAGCAGCATGATACATAACTAAAGTGTTGGTCTTATCGTCTAAGCACCAAACTGTGTCTTCTCCGTTGCAGTCTGTGCTGGTCGCCATTGAGATAACGAAAGACGGTGCGAGATAAGGTTCCAACCTTTTGGTCACTTTCAGAGATGTGAGGTCCAATATGAGGAGGCCAGGCCCATTGCTGTACCACACCTCAGAGCCTCCATTAGAGATCTCCATTGTCAGCACAGGATATGGATTTTGTCTTGGATCCTCATCACCGATCTTGAATAAAGTGCGGTTGGCGGTGCGTGAACAGATATAGGAGCAATCAGTGCTTGGGATACCGCCGGATACTGGGAACACGGAGACCAAGCTGTCCGCAAGACCAGCAAACACCAAACAGGAGCTCTGAATGTAGAAATACACACAATAAACAATTAGCATTTTGTTGAAGCATAAAGAGAGTTAGACTAATTTGGGTGCAAGTAGATCTATACCCCACCCTGTCTGCCTTTAGGCGATCTTTGGAAACTCACTTATTAAGGGAAGCCTACCCCACCTCCACCTAAGAACTGTACTTGAATCACCTCCACCAGCTCATCCCCCGCAGGTATAATCTTTTGTATCACCTCCACCAGATCATCCCCTACAGCTATCACCTTTTGTATCACCCTCCTCCTTCCTATAGATTGTAAGCTCCACAAGCCGGGCCCTCCTATTCCTTCTGTACTGAAATGTATTGTAATTGTATTGTCTCCCTTATATTGTAAAGCGCTGAGCAAACTGTTGGTGCTATATAAATCCTGTATAATAATAATCTATAAACTATTTTTTTTCATTTTGGATAGAGTAAAGGAGGGTTATAATCCCTGTTGGATTTTTTTTTTTCTCCATCTGTGTCTCATTGTGGAGATTTCCCTTCCTGTCCCATAGCTAAACAGGAAGTGAGAGGAATTCCCTCTGGTGACTCCCCCATTAGAAGACTTCCCCTTTATTACTTTTCTAGGGACAACACAAAATTTGGGATTTTCTTTTACTTTCACTTTTAACGAGAATGGTAAACAGGACAAATAGAGAGGACGATTCTCCTTAATGGGGGCACAGACAGCAATAAAAACCTGACAGGTGTTCTAACCCCTCTCCACTCTATCCAAAACTAAAAAAAATTAATTTTTTCTTAGTTATACTTTAACCTCTTCAAATGTGCGGCCTCCCGGCGTTTGGGCCTTGACGCCGAGCGGCGGGCTGCACATTTGCGTGCAATTAAGAAAAACATATGTGCTGAGAGAGCGCGCGCCCTGCGCGCTCTCAGCACACATGTCCGGTACTCACGTAAAGGTCCTAATCTCTTTCAATCAGGACCTTTCCCGATCATGTGACCGCCGTGACAGCGAATCACATGACCCTAAAACCCCGCCCCACCTCCCAGCTTCTGAAACCCTTAAAGGGCCGGGAGGCATCGGCGCCAAGGGGTTAAAGGATAAGTTCACCTTTTGGAATATGCTACATGTTCCACGCCTATTTAGGATGGAACATGTTCCTGTTCTGGCAGCCAGTTCCCTCAATCCCCTCCGCAATTGTGACAGCGGGTGAGGGATCTTCTCCTTGCACACACTTTCACAATTCAAAAGCAGCGCGACCGTGCACGGCTTCGCTCACACGTCCACATCAGCCATTGTGGCTCATGGCTTGTAGTTCTGGATGAACTGTGAGGGCGGTGATGAATCGGTCTTGTCGTTCATTCAAGGGTTCAATACCTTTTTTATTAAAATATCAAACAATATTACAGGAAAAGAAGATGGAATATAGGGACATTTATACAATAGTAGCTATGAATACAGGTAATATGCTTATCAATCATAAGTCAATGCACAGTAGAATGGTAGTTAAGTAAAAGTGAATATAAATTGTAGATTTATACACATTGTAGCGCTATTTTAGCGTAGATAAATGTATAAATGTTGATGTGAGCTAAATTAAAGAGCAGGAAAAGGAAAGAGAAGAAATGAAAAGAAGGAAAGAAAAAGAGTACAAATGGAGGCAATTCTAGTTCAAATGTACGGTAGTTAATTTACAAGCCCTGCAGCTTGTGAACAGTCAGCTTGTATGAAGGTACAGGCTGAAAGCTGCAGGGCTTGTCTGCCGGAGTCTGATATTGCACCCCTTGTCCACTGAGCAATACTTTCCAGGCTCCTTAGGAAAAAAAAAAAATAAAAATGTTTCCCTGCAAAAATATGTGCATTTATTATTGTTTCCCAAAAGTGGAACTTATCCTTTGAAGTAGAACTCAGTAAAAAGATCTGCTAATTCTACTCTTAAGGGAGAACTACACTGCACCTGAGCTCCACAAACCATTTAATTCATTTTTAATATTCAAAGCTAACTCCCCCAACCATCCATGTCTCCATGCTTTATTTTGCTTAGAAATCACTTTGAAAAACACCCCCCCTAGAATTTTTGGCTGTGGTCATCTTGAGTAAGGGCAGACAATTCTTGTAGCATTTACTTTCTGGAATCCATCTGCCCTTAGCTCAGGCTTTCAGGCAGGAGGGTTTACTTAGCTAAGAAAACCCCTTCCCTTCTGAAGACTCCTGGGATGTGTGATGTCATATGCCTAGGCATGGAAACCAGGAAATAACTTAAGAAATGTAAAAAATATGTTTAAACCAAGTATATATGATATACTTTCCTATGTATTTATGAGTGATAGCAGCATAAGAATTAAAATAGTCAATGTTGATTGAGAGAGTGAAGTTTCACTTTAAACTGACCACACATGTTACAATATGACTTTACAGTCTCTGTACAAATTTCCCAAGATGTACCACCAACAATGTACTGTAGAATGCGGGTATACCAACAAAATCCATTCAATATATATCCCAATAAATACCCACATGGAAGAAAATTTATTTGAAAAATATTCTTCCCAAATATATTGACATATATTTGAAATACTACAATTTTGGCCATATTCAATATATTTAAAAAAATAAATAAATACATTTTTATTTATATATATATATATACACACACACACACACACACACACACACGCTAAATAGTTTTATATATACACATATATACATTTTATATATATAATAGATTTATAGATATATATATATATATGATATTATATGATAGAAAATAAAATCATGAAGAATATATTTAAAAAAAAATATATTTTTAAAAATGTGTTTCATATATTTTGTAATATATAAAAACGCATAATATATAAATAATATATATTCATATATATATATATATATAACATATACATACAAAAGTCATTTTAACAGATATTTTTACATATATTTGTACAAGCATTCCAAAAATGTAGATTTGCATTTTTAAAGACATACAGTATATCTGAAATTTATTTTTAAAAACATTTTTTCATATATTTTGTAATAAAACTATATATATATATATATATATATATATATATATATATATATATAATAATTTATATATATATATATATATATTGAATATGGCCAAAATTGTAGTATTTCAAATATAGGTCAATATATTTGGGAAGAATATTTTTTAAATATATTCAAATATATTTTTCTTCCATATGGGTAGGTCCCTGCTTTTAGTGGGTGCTATATCTAAGGACTTGTATATATCAGCTTTTAAAATACATTTGTAATGTGTTTGTCATGCATTACCATTGACTAGTATGAATGAATAAAACATGAGCTGTAAAACATAAAAAAAAATCAATTAGAGAAGTCCCTATTTGTATGCTAATGCTACCCTCAGTGCACCGACCTTTGCCACATATGCAGTCAGGAAGCAGGTTACGATTGCTGGGGTGTCAACCTCTTTCTGGGGAGCACTCAATGGACACATTCCCTGCAGACTGTAGATAGATATCTTCTGATCCTACGTAGTGGGTTTAAGCATAACAATCATACAGATTTTATTTACTTTACTTTTTTTTTCTTTAAAATAGAAAATTGCTTTTGTATTATTATTTTTTTTATTCAATTAATACTCAGCTCAATACTCCCCTCATTTTGGAAAAGTGGAATACTTTGATTTCCCATATCTATTAGTTGAACGCCAAACAAGCCATAAAATACACAGATGATAGTGTACTGTGTGTGTGTGTATATGTATATATATATGTGTGTGTATGTGTATGTGTGTGTGTGTGTGTGTGTGTGTGTGTGTGTGTGTGTGTGTGTGTGTGTGTGTGTGTGTGTGTGTGTGTGTGTGTACACACACACATATACACAAGATGTTTTATCTGCTGAAGTATTTGTATTTCTGTCCAAACAGTTTTGAGATATACACAGCCATTCCACACAGAATAGTCAGGCTAATGACACCACTTTCTCTATTACAGCTACACACTGTAAATGGAATACAGCGGTGTCCTCTCTCCACTGGCAACATGCTGACTGGACAGTGAAGTAGGGATCACTAGAGTATTACAAGGGTGAGAGCACCACATTCATTTGTACAGTGCATATAGGGTTTGTTCCACATAAACGTTGACACGTTTTGGGGGCTCAAGCCTCCCCCTTCATCAGGACTTGTGAAAAATAATAAGTAGGATGGAGGGAGTGGACAGCTGTCCAATGAGGTGGTCATACAACCTGTACATATCCACTCTGTATAACAGCAGTCCAGAACTGTATCCTACTATTATACCTACAGCAGGGGCGTCCCTAGAGTTGGTGTCACGCGGTGCGATAACACTTGGTGTCACCCCTCCGACGATCCCCGCAGAATGGATCGGATTTGCGGATAGAGCATAATGGATCGGATTCTGATCCATTATGCTCCCCAATCCGCAGATCTGATCCACCCTGTGGGGATCATCGGTATGCAAGCTATACGGGGTGACACCGGACCCGCTCCATGAAAAGGTAAATTGTAAAGAAACTTTACAGGAAGGATCCGATCGTCGGCTTGCTTTATAACTTACCTTTTCATGGAGCGGGACCGGTGTCACCCGGTGTGGGCCGCACCCCCCGCACCTGCCTCAGGACGCTACTGACCTACAGTATTATTGTTCACAAGCCCTGATGAGGGGGGAGGCTTGAGCTCCAGGAAACATATTGGCTTTCTATGTGGGAAAAAAACTCCAAACTAGTGTGGTTCTCTCAGCCTTCTAGTACACTACTTCAATATATGATGTCATGTGACCATTAATATCCATCATCCAAAGGATTCCACATCATTAGGATAGGTTTATACCTCGGTGGCGATCCACAGCATGTTCTGTACTTTCAGCTGGCTGCACATCTTCAGTCCTGGACAGCTCAAGCCTCGCACCTCCACCTGACCCTTGGCCACATCCACAACTGTGTAATTCCTATAGAGAACAAAACAGTAAAGGTTGTCACTGCTGGGTCTTTTTTTCCTGCATGATACATGTGTTTTTATTATCATCTCTGAGGACACCACACCCCACCTGCAAGCTTGCTTTTTTTGCATCTTTAAGCCATACCAGTTTGGGAATTCACAGCATTTGGTGAGTGTGGATCTACAAAATGCTTTTCACAGAAGATGTGAGCAAGCTGGAAAATTTATAAAGTTTGAGTAAATAATTTTTTGGGACATTAGACTTTAATTTGGGACTTTTTCTTTGGACTTTCACATATAATTTTTCACAGTTTTGATTATTTGTAATATTTGCGCTGTATTGTTTTTATTATTATTTTTGATGTTTAGTCAATCCTTGAACAGCAGCATTTAATTTTTCACTTATTTCCTTACAGCAAGTTTGATACATATTTTATTATTATTATTATTATTCATTATTCAGGATTTATATAGCGCCAACAGTTTGCTCAGCGCGTATTTACAATTAAAGTGGTTCTAAAGTCTAAATGTTTTTCACCCTTAATGCATTTTCTGTGTTAAGGTAAAAAACGCCCCACTACATATCCTACACCCCGGGTTCTAAACACTTACTGGTCCCACGTCCCCAATCCAGCACTGTCTCCAGATCCAGCACCGCTCCCCACAATTCCCAATTTTGCAGTTGAAAATGAAAAGAGGGCAGTGGAGCCATAGGCTACTGCTGCCATCAGCCAATCACCTATGCAGAGGGAGCGGGGGGCGTGGCATACAGGCACTGTGTTCGTTTATGGATGCACACAGCTGGGAACACACGCATAGGTGCCTCCTTTACACCCAGCTTGCTACAGGAGACACCTGAAGGAGGGAGGAGATTTCAGCAGCGGTAGGGACTGCCAGAAAGGGAGAAAGGTGATCTTTCTGTGCAATATTGCTGCCCAGAGCAGGTAAGCATAGCCTCTATTTTTATTAATAAAAAAACTTTAGTATCAATTAATATTTTACTTGATCACTTTTAACCTGGAGGTTATTATTTTTATTATTATTATACAGTATTTATAAAGCGCCAATGGTTCGCTCAGCGCTGTACATTACAAAGGGGGACAGAACATGTGACAGAACAATACCAACACAATGCAAAACATGAGGGGATTGAGGGCCCTGCTCTTTCGAGCTTACAATCTAGATTAGAGTCCTTTTGTAGAATGATACATGAAAGTAATCAATAGGTGGTATTAATCAGAATTAACATTTAACATTTGTATTATTACATCTTATTGACACAGCAGCTACGGCACCTCCCTTCACCCTCAATACTGACCACACAAAATGACAGGTGATTATACAATGATGCAGGAACACAGTGAAAATGAATAATGTTTCCTACAGAAAGGCGGATACCTTGCTTGCCCTGTTCCCATCCAGAAGACAACAGTGGTGTCCACTTCCCTGGACGAACAGAATGTCTCCTGCATTCCGCATAGGATATGATACTTGAAGACCGAGAAACTCGGGTCATTCATACGCCGCAACACAGACGCAGCCAGAGGGCGCTAGGAAGAATGAAAACAATAGGCTATGGTAAATTCTGTCCGAAAGAAATGCTACAATAGAAAAAAGTTATCTATAGTAAGAAATATACCCTACAGTCACAAAATTAGCTATTCTGAAAGTAGGGAAAAATGCATTCAATTAACCACTTCAAGTCCGGACACTTTCACCCCCTTCCTGTCTAGGTAAATTTTCAGCTTCCAGTGCTGTCACACTTTGAATGACAATTGCGCGGTCATGCAACACTGTACCCATATGAATTTTTTAGCATTTTTTTGAGACAGGTAAAACTTTATTTTGGTGGTATTAATTCACCACTGGGATTTTTTTTTTTTTGCTATATAAATGAAAAAGTCCAAACATTTTGGAAAAAAGTTTATCTTATAAAATTTTGCAAATAAATAATCTTTCTTCATAAATCTTGGCCAAAATGCATTCAATTATCTTTTTAGTAAAAAAAAAAAAAATAACTCAAATTAGTTTATAACCAAAAATTATAATTTTTCTAATTTTTCATTTATATTTTTTTATATTATTATTTATGTTTTTATTTTTCACATACTGTGACCCTAGCAGTACAGTGTCACCATAGCGACACTGTACTACTTGTGGGGGGTGATGAAGATTTTTTTTTTATTTTTACACTGATTTCTTTTACACCCATAAAGGCTGTAAAAGCAATCATTTCTCCTTCTCTCTGGCTGCATTCTTGCAGCCACTGAGATATACTGTGTGAGCTGTGATTGGTCACAGCTTGTCACATGGTACAAGGCTGTTGTGAATAGCCTTGTACCATGTGACCTCTGTGATCATTCACAGATTTCACACGTAGTAAGCAATGATGTCACAAGTGACATCTTGCTTACTACTCTTCATGTGATCACTGATTGGCCAATCAGTGATCACATGATTGGGACCTCACACAGAGGTCCCGTACAACAATCGGTGTTCCGCTGTGTCCTCCGCACACAACGGGCACCAGATCGCGGTGCTGCATGCTCCCATGGAGCACGCACAAGCAGGGAGCGGGAGGGACGTTTATAAACGGCCACCCGCCCCTGCACTTCTTCTGTCCGGCCGTTTATATACATGGGCCAAATGGGAAGTAGTAAAAAAAAAATATATCATATTTAAAGAGAAAGTAGAATATATTCCAGCCAGCAGTTAATTTTGCCATTAAATCAGAGTATTCTGACAGTGCAGGAGTCACACTTTCAGAATTTAATGGGGTTGATTTACTAAAGGCAAACACACTGTGCACTTTGCAGTTGCACTCATTTTCCCCGGAGCTTAGAAAATTTGATGAAGCTGCTGATTTCCGTCATCGAATCATGTGCAAGCAAAAATGCTTTTTTTTTCCATTTTCCTTGCATCTGATTGGGTATTCTTTACAAAGTGAAGCTTTACCACGCTTCTATTTACTAAGAAAAAAAAAAGTACAACTGCACTTGCAAAGTGCACAGCATATTTTCCTCTAGTAAATGTATCCACCATGCCTGTGTGGATAGAGGAATCTGTCTTTTTTTACGATCTGCTGGCTGATCCAAAAAAAAAAAAATGTCACCTATGGCCTCCCTGACCCTAGGTTCACATCTGTGCGGGTGGTGCCGCTGCGGATCCATATGAAAATTCGTGCAGCCGCACCACCCGCACAGAGAAATGTGGACCCGCGGGCGGGTGCTATTAGTTCTAATGCCACGCCGCCCGCACTTGAAAACGCAACTGTACTGGGAACCGAGGTTCCTGTGCGGGCTGCATTTTCCAAAGAAGAGCAGGGACTTCTTTTCCTGCATGTCACAGGGCACAGGAGTCCATTCAAATGAATGGGCTTTCGTGCCCGTGCAAAACGCGGCCCGCACGGCCGCATAGATGTGAACCGGGTGTAAAGCAGTACTTAAAGCATGTGTGTCAAATAAGGAAGATAATGAAAACACTAGTGTTAAAAGGTACAGTAAATGATCCCCCTTTGACACCCACATACACAATACTTTACCCCTGGTTCACATATGTGCGAGTAGTGCCGCTGCGAATCCGCACAAGAATCCGTGCAGCCGCACCACCTGCACAGAGAAATGTGGACCTGCGGGCGGGTATCATTAGTTCTAATGGCACGCCACCCGCACTGGGAAACGCAACCGAACTGGGAACCTCGGCTGCGTTTTCCAAAGTAGTGCAGGGACTTCTTTCCCTCAGTGTTAGGGGCACGGAACTCCATTCAAATGAATGGGTTCTTGTGCCGAGCAAAACGTGGCGTGCGCGGCTGCATAGATGTGAACCGGGGGTTAAACTCAAAATGCTGATTGCTTGTTTTAAATGTAAAAAAAAAGCAACAATCTAACTAGGTATATTGAGTCAACTGCCTGGCATGTTTGGAAAGTTATATTTGCTTTGCTGGAAGTGCTGGGAAGAAAAAAAAAAGGCAGTCTGTTTTTAGAGTAACCTAACTTATAACAAAAAGACAAGAAATTCTATAAATATCACATTAAGCCGCCTGTGTTAATCAAAGAGTGGAAGTATCGCTCTTCTGCCTTTCCATGGTAGGTGCAGTTGTGTTTTACCAGCGATATTTGTCAGGCCAGTTTTCCCTTGTGTAATTATTAAATAATTATGTTTGTGGAAATTGACTAATCTCTAACAGATGGTGACAACAAAAAGTGCAGCAGTAAGTCAATATTAGCATACCAACAGCTGTGTTATGAAGGCATTATACATCGAAATCCTTTCTAGGCTCATTACACCAGAATTAGGTAAATAAGATTTCCAATATTGTGAGTATAATGACACAACACATGCCTTGGAGAAGAGAACGCAGATACAGCAAGATGACACGTCCCGCTACACGGCAAATGGAACTCTCCAAGCTTACGTATCTGCAAATATTTTTTTTTTTGCTTGAATATGTATGTTACAACCTTATATATTCAAATACACAGCACAAAAATTCCCAGAAAAGTAATCCACCTCCACCCTTGAAGGTTAATCAAAAAAAATGTATATATAAACTTTTCTTTTTAACAAACCCACATAAATGTCCAAAATATCAAAACAATTCCCACTAGTGTAACCAAATGTTCAACAAAGTCTCTTTTTTCTTCTTTCAACGACAAATCTTTTTCTCAACACCCGCAAATTCTGATGACAATATACCTCAAAAAAAAAAAAAAACTTAACATAGTGTCATACCTTTTTGATAATAAATACACACGTGCCCCTTACAGTGCAACATGCAAATACTTGTGAGAGAAAAAAAAAAAAATACAAATGTTAGTCTATATGCGAATATCTACATACACGCATATATTTTTAATTCTCTGTGTAACCAAATTCCTAATCAGTGAAACACTCACACATCCTGTCCACTATATAATCTGTGTAAACAACTCAAAGTGTATCACTGAAAATGTGTAATTTTTTTTTTTTTTTTTTTCTCTCACAAGTATTTGCATGTTGCACTGTAAGGGGCACGTGTGTATTTATTATCAAAAAGGTATGACACTATGTTAAGTTTTTTTTTTTTTTGAGGTATATTGTCATCAGAATTTGCGGGTGTTGAGAAAAAGATTTGTCGTTGAAAGAAGAAAAAAGAGATTTTTGAACATTTGGTTACACTAGTGGGGACTGTTTTGATATTTTGGACATTTATGTGGGTTTGTTAAAAAGAAAAGTTTATATATACATTTTTTATTTACAACCTTGTTTATAGAGGAATTCAAGGTATAGATATTTTATACATACTGTAGTTGCAGATTGGACCAAGGTAACTATGTAAATACCATACCTGACCGATGGCCTGGGAAGTCAACAAAGTAGATATTGCTAAGTGATCTCCACTGGCTTCCAAGTCATGGACCAAGCTGCTGCCCTGCTGCGTTTTGAACACAGGAGATCTGACAGGCACAGGTGCCATTCAAAGAATGCTTTTCGTTTTTCCAATGAATTCAAAGCGTTCTATGACTGGATGAGGTAGACAGTGTGACGTCACTATGTGCCTCTCCACCTTGTCCAATTGAAGAACGCTTTGAATTCCTGAAGAAAATGAAAAGCATTCTCTGAACGGCACCAATTCCAAGCACCTGTGTACAGATTACGGGGGTTGGGCTCTGTGATGGGGGGACTATGTGATTAGGGAGGGTTCTGCAATAAGGGGAATACATGATTAGGAGACTCTGATTTTATTTATTTATTTTTATTTATTTATCCTTGTTTATATAGCGCCAAAGGAATGCTCAGCGCTGTACAATAGAGGGGGGACAATTTGATAACAGTACAGTAACATCAAACAGCACACAAGGGGTAAGAGGGCCCTACTCTTTCGAACAATCTAGGAGGGAGGGGGTAGAGGTACAGGAGGAAATGGCTGTGGGGGATGGAGTGGAAGGAGGAGGGAAGGGCAGCGGCTGTTAGGTGAGGGTGGGGTAGGCTTCCTGAAGAGGTGGGTGGGAGGGAGCGCCTGAAGGTGAGGAGGGAAGGTGACAGTCTGATGGGTTGGGGTAGTGAGTTCCAGAGGATGGGGGAGGACCTGGAGAAGTCTTGCAGTCGTGCGTGGGAGGAGGAGACCAGGGAGCAAGATAGAAGGAGGTCCTGTGAAGAGCGAAGGGTACGGGTAGGGTGGTATCTGGGAATCAGGTCGGTGAGGTAGTTAGGGGCAGTGTTGTGAATGGCTTTATAGGTCAGAGTGAGCAGTGAATTTAATGCGTTGGGCAATGGGGAGCCAGTGGAGGGAGAGGCAGAGGGGGGTTTGGAGCGGGTGGAGAGGTGATGACTCGGCACTGAGTGGTCAAGCGGGGTGAGTTTGCAAAGGGGTAATGCCGGTTTCGTTTTTGAGATAATCAGGAATGAAAAGTAGTTTAGTGTGTCTGGGGTAAGGAAGGAGCGTATCTTGGAGATGTTCCGGAGGTGGAGCCTGCATGAGTTTGTGACAGTTGAAAGGAAAGGTTTGAGTCCAGAATGACGCCAAGGACACTTGGCTTGCGGGGCGGGGATTGAATGGTGTTGTTGGTAGTGATGGAAAGGATGGGGGGGGGGGCACGGGAAGGGGAAAGACGAGAAGCTCGGTTTTGGAGAGGTTGAGTTTGAGGAAATGGAAGCGACATCCAGTCAGAGTGTCGTTTACGGAGGTGAGTGATGCGATGGGCGGGAGAATGTGATTAGGGGTGGATAGGTAGATTTGAGTATCATGCAAGAGGTGGTAAAGGTGGAATACCATGAGATGGAGGAAGAGAAGGGGTCTCTGAGCCCTGGGGGGAGAGGGGGAGTGGTTAGGAGGCTGAAGGAGCGTTGATAGGTAGGTGGAGAACCAGGAGAGAGCGGTGACTGATGGGGGGACTGTGTGTTTAGGAGGCTGCATGATGGTGTGGCCTTTGTGACATGGGACTGTGTAACTGGGGGGCTCTGTGACTGAGGGGCTTTGATGTGATGGGAGGACTCTGTGGTGATGAAAGACCTCCGGTGCGATGATGGGGAGGCTCTGATGTGATGGAGGGACTCATGTATAGGAGTGACTCTGATGTGATGGGGATTCTCAAATGTAAAGGGAGGACCGCTGATATGAAGTAGGCAGCCGCTCAGCATTGGGATCCAGAAGCAAGTGGAAATCTCTGGGGTAGCAGTGTCTACTACCATGATTCCAGTTTCCAAGGCATGGTTGAGGTATGCTAAATGCACAGTAACATTGGTGTAAGCTGTATCAATGTAACCATGTATAAAATATCCATACCTGGAATTCTTCTTGAAGGCCCCTTTCACATGAAGGGGGTGGTCATGCCCACCTGTCAGTTTTCTAGGAAGACCCGATCGGACCCTCCATTCACCTCTGTGGACTGGCAGGTGTAAACTTGTGTTTGTTTACACCTGTCTACCTGAAAACCAATCCTGTTCATCTAGGCCAGGGGTGTCAAACTCCATTTCATGGCGAGCCGTATCGGCATTATGGTTGCCCTCAAAGGGCCGGTTGTTTCTGTAAAACTAGATGTCCAGAGCACCCCACCCCCCATTACATCAGATGTCAAGAATCCCACACCCTCCCTAACATTACCGTGCACCCCCTATGAGGGCAGAGCTGGAAAGCAGAAGGTGCAGGGTCTGGAGGAGGACCAGAGGAGGAGTGGAGTCAGTTACCAGAGTCTGCTGAATGCGGAGACCAGGGGAGGCAGAGATGGAGGCAGAGATGAGGGGGTGCTGCAGCTGCACTGAGAGGTGCAGGATTTGGCAGAGAAGTTCTGTTCTCCTCTCTGCTTCCGACAGCAGAGACAAGGTTGGGGCGTAGACAAGGGGGTACCTGCAGGAGAGCTGCAAGGGCCACATGAAATGACCTGGAGGGCCAGAATCGGCCTGCGGGCCTTGTGTTTGACACCTGTGATCTAGATGGATCGGAGAGCAGTCGGGTGTAAAGGGACACTAGTGTCTGTTTTACTCCTGGCCGTCCATAGACCATAGCGGGCTTGGTTCATGTCCACTCTGCATAGACTGAGCAGACATGGACCTGTCATCTGTCCTCTCTCTGCTCTGATCAGCAGGGGATCAATGGATAGAACCCCTGTTGATCTAAATGGAGTCCGCCCCATGTGAAAGGGGCCTAAAAGGATAAGTTCACCTTTTGCAAAAAAAAATAAATGCATAATTTTGCAGATAAAAAAATTTGCATTTATTATTTTTTTTTACCTGTAAAGTGTTGCACCTGTGAAGCAGATTGTGGGTGCAATTCCAGGCTCCTGCAGACACTCAGTACAACTGTAAGTATCTCCTGTACAGGCAGATAGTTACTGAATTGCAAGAAGTGTGAATGAACTATAAGAGTGCTCACAAGCGCCCTTGCAGTTCACGAAAATACAAGCTGCCTGATGTGGCTCCATGGCACCGGCATGTAAGTTAGTGCAATCAAAAATGGAGTTTTCATTTGGCATGGACACAAAATCAGTGAAAATAAAAGTCGACAGAAAATAAACACGACCAACTTTTTCTGGCTTCGTGTCCCAGCACTCCATCATCAACTCTTGCAGTCTGTAGAACTGAACCTCTTCTGGGCGCCCCAACACAGGCCGGATCCCTTTTGACAGCTTCTTAGAGATCTGGAGTTGATGTTGACCTAAAGACGGCCGCTGACCAGACAACAGTTCATACAGGACCATGCCGTAGGAGAACATGTCTACCTGAAAAGAAAAACACCTAGAAATTACACCATTGTTGCTGCTTTCCTTGTTTCCTAACCTAGTATACTAGGGTGACTTACACGGATCTACCTCTAATCCACTACAAAATGTATTAATAATAAAAAAAAAAAAGTTGAGCGCTGCTATAGTCAGTGAAACACATAAATGTAGTTTTTTTTTTTACTAACAGTATTTTTTTAATTAAAAACATTGCTTTTCAGGGTTGATCTGATGGCCAAGGCAGACCTCTCAAATGCTTGTCCGGAAAAACCAATCGATATTCATATTGCAGAACACCTTAGCACTTAACATTTGTATCTTTCTTTACACAAAAAACATATCATTTGTTTCTGAGACCTGCAATGGAAGTAAAGCAGATAATGCCTTATGTTTAAAAAAAAAAAATCTATAATGATATCGACGTACAGTTATCTTTAAATGCATTGCCTTTATAAAATCAATAAAAATATTGAACACGAAAAATCTATACTGTACTCCACACATTTTATGGTCAACTCCTAAAAGCATGGGAAAGTATTAGTCATTAAATTCCGATCGATTTATAGGGGAGAATGTCAATCTGCAGTAAAATGAAAAACAGAGGTGAAGTCTTCTGCAGAAGGCATGACAACAGTTTTAATCCACCAAGTCAGGTTTGCTCAACCTTGTTAACATGGAGGAACCCTTAGAATAAGGCAGGCCACCCAAGATGCGATTTTCTGTGGTTGCAGTAGCCTCCCTATTGGTCTGATTATGTCAGTATTTCTGTGCTCAAAGCGGTACATTTTTTTGCATGGAAATATGTATTTTTTTTTATTGTAGGCCTTTAATTTTTAGGAATAACTCACTGAAATCTGTCTGAACAAGAGTCTAGTAAACATTCCGGGTAGGATAAAATTTGAATCACGAAATCATAAATTATAATTTAATAAATAATCATAAAAAATAATAATATAATCAAACCAAAAACACTGAAATTTGAAATAGAGCGCCAAGTTCGCACATCGCTGAGCAATGTCGCAAAATTGTTTTCAGTGTCTGATAACGAATTTCCCCCACGAATCATTATCACTCAATTCTGCAAGTGGTTCTAATTTACTGCTGTTCTCTGGTGAAGCACTCCTTTACATGGGTGGTCATTGGGAGAAAAGCCTCCTTTCACTGGTGTTCAGTAGGAGACCAGCACCATTACTCTGGAGCGCACCTTACATTGGTGATCAGTGAGCTAAATGCTCCTTACAATGATGATCAGTGGGAAGAATTTCCCTTACATTGGTGGTCAGTGGGATGAATGCTCCTTACATTGGTGGTCAGTGGGAACAATTTCCCTTACATTGGTGGTCAGTAGGAAGAATGCTGCTTACAATGGTGGTCAGTGGGAAGAATTTCCCTTAAATTGGTGGCCAGTGGGAAGAATGCTGCTTGCAATGGTGGTCAGCGGGAAGAATTTCCCTTACATTGGTGGTCAGTGGGAGGAATGCTCCTTACATTGGTGGCCAGTGGGAAGAATGCTCCTTACATTTGTGGCCAGTGGGAAAAATGCTCCTTACATTGGTGGTCAGAAAGAAGAATACATCCTCACACATAGCTAGAATAATAATTCATGTGAGTGGTTACTTATTTGAGAGTCAGGAATTGCTCATTGACCAGGAACTCCTAATCCTCTGGAGGAACCCTGGTTGAGAAAGGCATGACTAAGATTGTTGAGAAAGGTATGACTAAGCTATAACGTGTATTATTTGCTAAAATCGCTACCTGAAGCCATGACCCAGCTGCAGCTCTCATTACTGAAGATAGTGGTGGTTATTTCAAACAACATATGTATTACAGCTTAATGGATTGAGCCGTTATACATCAACCCGCAATGCTGTTGGGAAAGTGAATAGAATGATTTCGCGCAAAAAAGGCTCAATTTACAAAGCTAGAGCATCAGGAACATTATCTTTATTTTAGCAATATGACTCATTTTCAAATCTTATTTGTCTCCACTTTACTTTTTCTGAAAATAAAGATCCTTATCCTGATATGTTAGCTTTGTATATGAGCCTGAAGTCTTTTGAAATTTTGATCACCTGTAGATACTATTCTCTGGAGTCTCAGTGGGTAGATCTCTCCAACACATAGAAGAAAACATGTGCTTTGCTCATGCATTGACAATATAAAGGGTGCCATGCCATGACTTTTCACTTTAAAGTGGCACTCTGCCCATAATAGTTTGGAAGAATGTCCAGGGTAATGTGCTTTTTTTTCAGGAAGCTGGGCAACTGGCATGGTGGAGTGGAGGGGTTAGAGTTGGATTAGTGGGTCTAGGGTACACGGGCAAGCAATAGAAGGCAATAGCCAGCCATGTCTGGTGAAGATTATTCAGGGGTTGCCCTTGCTGACACATTTCTGTAAATACTATTTTCTTGGATGATATTCTGACCCACTGGCTTAAAGAATATTTCCACTTTTGTGGTCACATTTGGGAAAAAAAAAACCCATTCAAACCTGCTTTACTCATGATTCCGGGACGTTCCTGCGTTCCACGGACCAAAAGTAGGCACCCAGAATTGACAGAAAAAGGCTCTGTCCAACTAGTTTCGGTGTGATGTCATCAGGAGCAGGAGCGGACTGACAACTCATGGGGCCCCCGGGCAATAGGGGATCATGGGGCCCCTGTGTCCTTGCCCACACTCAAAGCACACCCAAAAAAAGCCTATAAAAAGGTACCAGGGGCATTTCATGGGGCCCCCTTCTGACCCCGGGCCCTCGGGCAGTAGTACTCAAATGGTCAGTCCCGCCCCTGATCAGGAGTGATCTGATGATGTAACACCAACTAGACTAGTTGGGCGGAGCCTTTTTGCATCACTTCTAGGTGCCTACTTCCGGTCCGTGGAACGCAAACTGGTCTGGGAGGCTGCCAAGAGGCCTACAGCAACATTAAATGAGCTGCAGGAATATCTGGCCAAGTACTAGCGGTGTGGTACATGTGACAACAAGCTCCCATATTCTTCATATGTCTGGGCTATGGAGTAGAATGGCAAGACGGAAGCCTTTTCTTATGATGAAAAATATCCAAGCCCTGCTAAATTTTGCACAAACACATCTGAAGTCTCCCAAACGCATTAGGGAAAATATGTTATGGTCTGATGATCCAAATCAACAAAGGAATGGCTTCACCAGAAGAAGATTAAAGTTTTGGAATGGCCCAGCCAGAGCCCAGACCTGAATCCCATCGAAAATCTGTGGGGTGATCTGAAGAGGGGCTGTGCACAGGAGATACCCTAGCAATCTGAGAGATTTGGATTGTTTTTGCAAGGAAGAGCGAGCAAATATTGCCAAGTCAGGATGTGTCATGCTGATAGACTCCTCCCCAAAAAGACAGAGTGCTGGAATCACATCAAAAGGGGCTTCAACAAAGGATTAGTTTAAGGGTGTGCACACTTACGCAGCCATATTATTTTAGTTTTTTATTTTTACTTCCCTCCACCTAAAAGATTTCAGTTTGTTGTTCAACTGAGTTGTACAGGTTATAGGTCACATTAAAGGTGGAAAAAAGTTCTGAAAGGATTTATCTTTGTCTCATTTTTTTACATGACAGATACCGGACATTTTAACAGGGGTGTGTAGACTTTTTATATCCACTGTAGGTGTTATCCCGATTTGGCTGCAAAAATGAAAATACACTTAAAATGATTTGCAATAAGTACATAGAAGAAGAAAGTCAGAAGTGTTTGTCTGCATGCTTGCCCCTAGTCAGTGACTGACGTATTAAACCCAGAGTGCATGCCAGCCAGTAAAGCAGCATTTTCAGCAGAGGCCAGCAATCACAGCCCGTGTGACATTTTCCTTTAAGGAACCTTGCTCATGTCCATAGGAGTCAGAATGCCCCCCCCAGTGTGCAGATCCCAGTTCCAGGGAGTTGCATATGGCGGTACATCTGGGTGAACAGGAGGAACTTTGTGATCCGGAGGGGCGAGCTGTCACACTGCCTTCCTTTGCTACATGATATTTTGCTTTAACACTTTTCCAAAGTCTGCCAAGTTTGTTTTTTTTAAATTCCCTCAAACAGGTAACACTGAATCTGTTTAGCTACTGGGCCCATTAAACAAATATTACTCGGTCAGATTACTACAGAGGGCTGTACAAGTTCAGTGTAATACATGGATATTTGAAACCAACAGAACTATTCAGTGTGTAAATGTTCACAGCGGGATGTCTTCAGGAAATATTTAACCTTGCCAAAGTTCAGCTTTTTATCCATGAATTTGGTCCTTTCAGAGGCAAAGACAAAACAATTTAACATACTGACAGCTAATTAGCGAATACAAGCCATCTATTGTTTAAAAGATGGACTACATTGAAGAGGTTATTCTGTATGTCATTTTGTATTAAAGATGAACAAAGGAAAAAAAGCCGACATGGACTTTCCCTTACCTCCAACATGTGACTGCGGCATATAAATTCAGACTTATTAGCATTTATGTTATCATACAAAAGGTAGAATGTGTCTAATAATCTAAAATTTACTGTTTATTTTTTTTCACTGGTGGAGGTTTATACTATGTTTAACCCAGGGGCGTCCCTAGGGTTGGTGTCACGCGGTGCGGTAACACTTGGTGACACCCCCTCAGACGATCCCCGCAGAATGGTTCGGATCTGCGGATTGAGCATAATGGATCGGAAACCGATCCATTCTGCTGCCCAATCCGCAGATCCCATCCATCCGGCGGGGATCGTCGGCTTGCTTTACAACTTACCTTTTCGTGGAGCGGGTCCGGTGTCACCCCGTGCGGTAGGTGTCACCCGGTGTGGCACGCACCCCCCGCACCTGCCTCAGGACGCAGGTATAAAAATGTCCTGTCAGCAAGAGGTTATACCAGGATCATGGCTGCAGCTGCAACCATGATCGTTTTACCATTTTTTTCAGCCAGCAACCTATCCTGTAAAAGTGACTGGGATGGCTTGACAGATGCCAGATCACTTTTGCAGTGCTGTATAGGCACCCCCCCCCCCTC